TTAAGTTGTTTTATATACCTTAAACATTAAAAATAAAACTTTTATTTTTAATGTTTGAGGTATATCACACATTTTAATCCTATCTTTAAAAATTATTTCGCTTCCATATCTCTTAAAGTCATATTTTATTTGAGTTTCATATTTTAATAGGTTTTATACAGTGCTTGAGTAAATATTTATCTTATTACCTACATAAAATTTAATTAAGGATTTTTATTAATTTTTATACAAGTTTTAACGTGTTTCAAAATTTCAAATATTTCAGTATCATCAGTACATCATAATCAGTATTAGGTGCAATTATTAGTTATTAACACAATTATGATAATAAAATTACCAGTGAATAATTAATAACTACTAAATAATCACTAGTATCAATTTGTTTTAGTAACATTAACTTAATATGCTTATTACTATTGTCAAATCTGATTTTTAAATAATTCAGATAATTGTAATCTTGATTCGTCTTAAGTATTTCAAATTATCACGAATTATTAACAAATGCAGCTATTATTAAATAAACAATAAGTAGATAATTAATTATACTATGATTATTAAGTTATTCTTAACTGCTTCTTACCATTCTTTTTTTTTAAATTGAAATATCTAAATGATATGTTGGTACTTAAAAATGATCTCACCTTTACTATAAATATTTGTAAATACTAATCCTTATAACTATTTTCTTTTACTTTTTTTGCTTTGTTACAAATTATACCATATATGTTTCATAAAAAACTGCCTAAAATTGCTGCCCTCAAGCTATTTGTCATATTTGAAAAATATGAAATGAAAAAAAGAGGTCAATACAAGAAAATATGTGAAATAATATTTTTATATATTTTATAACTGGCGTTTAAGTTTACGACTCTCAGTATTCAATTCCGTAGCCCTGTAATTTTGTACCCACCCAGAAGACAACAGAACTCCTCAAGCATTGCTACAAACTATTCTTCGTAGAGACTTTTGATGCAACTAACCCACATTTGTGTTACTCGACGGAGAGGAAAACTACGAAAACCTCCCTTGGCTAGCCCGACGGCAAAGGGATTCTAAAGCATGATCCGTCTACCACTGAGGATATTTTCGGAGCGGGGAGCCGGAAGAGGAATTTTTATCAACTTGATGTAAAATCATGAGAAAAAATGTATTCGTATAATTGTAGTTACTAATTTTATTATCTTTGCTAAATGTAAATTAATTAATAATAGATAGTAAAACAAACTAGCATTTCTGCTACTTTTTGAAATTGCATAAAATTACTTTTCATTCAAGTTTGAATTTTAAAAGGTGATCTATAAATTAAACATTTTGTGCATTTTTGATGAAATTTGAAAAAACAAATAATAATATTAAAATATATTTTATGTCAATCACTTGTTGAAAAAATGAAAATAATCTCATAATTTTTTTTTTAAATTTTCTTTAAAAATAAGCCCCTGATAAGCATTAATAGGTCGATCTTTGTTATTCCCTGCAACAATTTAAACTGCAAAGAAATATTTGCTACATATTAACTTAATTTTTGTTGAATTTCATTAAATAAGCAAAATAAACAATAATCACTGCATAAATGTCAAATCATGAACAGCGTAAAAATAATCACTCACATTTAATAAACACAACATCAATTAACGAATCTTAGAAAATTAAAATTTTCCCTCGAGCTTTCTGGGTAAATCTTTGACTAGACGGAAATAAAGTTCATTAACTCCATTTTCTCAGTTTCAATTCGCGATCCAACCATTTAGATAATGGAATTTAATTCTAATAAGTTGCTCTTCAAAACCTCTCCACTCTTCTATTTTCATAAATTCAAGCGAAACATCGCTTTTCTTTTTTTCATGAAACTCCTTCCCCAATTATTTAATTATAAATCCCTTTCTTTACAGAGTAACCTATCGTGGTTGGTTCGATTTCCCTAATCATAGTGGTAGGGAAAATTGTCTGGGAAAATAAATTTTGCGAAGTTAGTTCATGTAGACATTTTCGTTTGACAGTAGCTCTAAAATGATATGATTTTCTTTTTTTTGGGGAAATTGTCCGAACCTAGGGAAAATTGACAGAAAAAATTAATTTTTTTAAGTTATTTCAGTGTTGCGTTTGACAGTAGTCATAAAATGGCATGATTTCCTTTATTTCATTTAAAAAAAGTTATTTGCATTAATTTATTTTTAATCTACTACGTGGAATAATTTTCAGTTAGATGTGTTAAATAATAATCAATTAATTAATTTCAGTTTTTTCAAGAGAAAAAAAATAAGTATTCGATCAAAAAACTCATTTCATATTATTGTATAAGTAGTTTTATACAAAAATTCTAAAATAATCCTAATAGAAAACACATTATAAACGTAAATATGCGAATAAAAATTATTATATTAGCATTAATTGAAAATAAAAGTTAAACCATTTGAAATGTCATAGGACTGCTACGCAAGCTTACTTTTACGCTATACTTTTTTTAACAACTTTCTTACACAGAGGAAAAAGTATGGTGATATTACAGTACTGTATGGTGATGATATTTCTGGCAGAATGGACTGGTAATAAAAAACAAAATATACAGTATTCAAACCATTAATTTGGTAATTTTTCCATTCATATGGTAAAGGTTTACCGGAAATTCTGGTTTTCAAGATTATAGTTAAAATTACCAAACATTTAGTAAAAAATACAAAATTGAAATGTAAATTTAACCAAATAAATGGTTTTTATGGTATCATGTTAAAATTACCACATTTACCAAATTTTTTCGCATTAAATAAAACTATATTTTATTGTTAATTTTGCCGAAATTATTACCAAAGCGTGTTGGTAAAAATTACCGAGCTTTTTGGTGTTTCCATAAAACCTGAAAAACGGTACATTTCACCATATTCTGGTAGTTTTGACTATACTTCTTTCCTCAGGTTACTTTGAATATTTGTGTATTTCCTTATTTTGTTGTGAGTTGAAAATTAAAAATACTGTCACTGAATCTGACAAGTGAACTTCTACATAACAAATATTATTTTTAGATAAAAACAATGTAAAAGAAAATAAGTTTTTCTAATCATATCTTGACTCTCAATCAAATCTCGATAATTTAAATCTTAATTCTGTTGCAAGAACTAAATATTTTGACTTATTCTTAATAAAACTAACAAATTTTATTACGAAGCAGTAGTCATTTTTTTGTTTTGAAAATTATTCTCGAGAATTACTTTTCCTGCCTTAACTAATACTTAAATATACCAAACGATAAAACTAAATACCCAAACTTCTAATAAATGTGCTAACAACCGTGAATTTTTAAGCCAAGTCACGATATTTTGCGGTACTCAAAATTCAATATTCACTTGAATAATCATTTTTGCAACATTTTCTACCGATGTGCATGAAAGACACAGGATATGCTTATGTTTCTTTGTTTGTCTTGAGCAATAGAAAGATTACGAAATTCTTTTTAGTGGGTTCCTCCTCCTTCACGCATGGTTTATAAAATCAACAAACTGTATAAAAAAGCGTTATTAGAAAGAAGACACAATTCTACTTTTACAAACTAGATATAAATAATTACATTTTGTCGTCTTTAGAATAAAAAAAAATCGCAGTTTGGGAAAAATGTTAGAATTAGGTGCGTCATACGATTTTAGTCATACTCTGTGTTTTTAAGACACCACCCTTAACTGCCAAGGAGTTTATTTTTAAGACACTGCCTTTAGTGTACATTTCTGACTAAAATGCTTTCTTATTGTATGTTTACATTTTTACTCATTTGAATAATCATTTTCAGCCTCCATAGTGGAGGTGGAAAATGATTATTTGAATGAAAAAGTAATAAAATAGGACGAACTATTCTATATTGAAAGTAGAATTATCGAGAAAAAAAATTTGAAGTTGAATTCGATGCAGATGTTTGTCTTTCTCGTTTGCATTTTAAAAAGATACTTTTTATTTATTGTTAGTAAGGGAGGAAGAAATAATAATAAAAATAAACCTTCTTTGATGCAGAAAAAAAACTGAACTATTTTTTCTGAAACCATTGAAATGTAAGATTTAAACTGCGATTATAGCATACTTAGCTTGTTTTACTAATTACATAGAAGATTTAATAAGATTTAATAATAAGATTTCATAATTATATAATAAGATTTAATAATTACATAAAAAAATTAAATATTGGTATATTCTGTTAAATAATGATATTTTATTATATTTAATAACCGTCGTTAAACAGCTAACCCACTTTTTGGGTTTAATATTCAACTCCGCAGCCTTATAATTTTGAACCAAATCCAAAAGACAAGGGAACTCCTGGATCAAGTATTGGGAGAAATTTGTCTTCGTGGAGGACTTTTTGATGGATCTAACCCGCATTTGCGTTACATGGTGAGGAAAACCACGAAGACCTCCCACGGTTAGCCTCATCGCTAAGGGACTCTACCTCATGATCAGAATACCACTGAGGATATTTTACTTCAGCAGTGTGGTCGGTGCCAGCCAGATGCGGAATTTGTATCGACCAGCCATACCTGTGAATTGAACCTGGTCACCTCATTGGAAGGCGAACACTCTATCCCTTGAGCCATTGCGGCTCAAATTTACAAGTTTAAAAATGTGATAAGAAACTGGGGGGTGCGTAGATTTTGCGACTAACTTCTCGGGGAGTTAGGGAACGTGGTCAAGCTTAAAATGGCATAAGAACCCATGCCCTGAAATATCGTCATACGCCGCTAGGGATGCTTCCTTATTATGACCTGTTTAGAAGCACACAAAGAAACAATTTATAATTGGGAAGCGTATTTAGACAACGTTTTCGGTACTTCTTATTTTATTAAGGCGAAAAAGATCGTTGTGGCTAGTTCTTATCATCCCGCTTAATATTTTTTAAAAGGATGTACACTGGTTGTAAAATGCTTTTTAATCAGCGTTTATCTTGGCTAAGCTATATAAATTCTTTTTAAATTTGAAAAATATATTATTATTTTTTTCAAAATCTATAATTTTTTGTTTAGGTCCTCCACGTTTGCTACCAGATGCAATTGATCTGGAAAGAGTGGTTCCGGAAGGAAGCATGGTACAACTTCCTTGTCCAGTTGTAGCCGATCCAGACACACTATTTTTTGAATGGTACAGAGATCGAGAGCCTCTGGACGCTTTTGCGGACGAAAGATATCGTGTTTTAAGTAATGGTGTTCTTAAAATCAAATCAGTTGTACCAGATGATACAGGTCTCTATGTTTGCAGAGCAATCAATGGTTTTGGAAAAACTGCTGTCAATGTCACTCTTATAGTTTTAGGTAAGTAATTCTTAATCAGTATTTTTATTCGACAAAAAAATTCTCTATTTGTCGGGCGAATTATGTGACACGTCAACTGTTGATTTCCTACGAAAAGATGAATTAAAAATATCGCTTTTGTATGATTTATCTGATGAAAAAAAACTCTTTTTTATTTACAGTGTCTGCTATTTTTTAACAATAATTGGTAAATGCAAAAATATAAAAGTTTACTGGAAAAATGGAAAAATTTACTGAATATCTGTTCTTAATAACACGTGATAAAATCACGCGCAATCAAAATATCTTAGGACAGAATGGCCTGCGTACAAAATATCGTTAGGCAAAATCTCATACGACATAATATACAGCAAATTATCGTTAGACAAAATCTTACGTTAATAAAATATCGTTGGATCAAATCTCTTGCTATTTAAATTTCGTTCTAACGCAATCAAAATATCACTATACAGATTTTTCTACGGAATATGAAATTGGTTTCTGTGTGGACAGGATCTCATATAAACAAAACATCAATAGTATTTAGATATGATATTTATTGCGAAATTTCACCTCTGCAAGATTTTGTCCAACATGTAGAAGATAAATAACAAAGTAGCCACTATAGCTACAGATATCAAATTTAATGCAATAAGATGCTTCATTAATCAAATAATATTTCTAGATAAAATTTTTCTCTCTAAATTTACAGTAACAAATGCCTTTAACTTTATTTTCGAAAAGTATTAAAACTGAAGGAATTATAGCCTAAATTGCTTTTGTAAAAGTTAAATATCAGCTGCAATGACAACGATGTTTACACCACGATTTATGCTTATTTATATGCCCTTTCTGTGAAACCTTAAATGCTTTTTTGCGAAACGCTATTTAGCATTGAACAAGTGAGTGAAATATTATTTTAATATTAAATTATCTTTGTGTTTATTAACGGTTCAACAACAATACATTATTGTTATAGAACCGTTTATAAACAAAATATCCAACTGACTTAGTTTTTTCTCTACAAGTTCAGGAAACATCTTTGTTCATGACGCATATTTTCAAAAATACAAATTTTTGTAACAGTTTGTGAGCTTTTTCATCAATGAAAACCATAACCCTATAACTATATAGCCATGAAAAATATAATCCATACAAAACATTTATGTTCTATATAATTGTTCTATTCTTTATAATGTGCACTAAATAATCGTTTCGGATCATATAATCACACTGAGCTATAATTATAAAATATAAGTTATTTTATATGGTAATTAATTTTTAAGTATTCTTAAAATGTAAATTTTTTAATTGTGTAGGTCTTATAACACGAAAATTTTATTAACATGTTTATTAATTTACAAGCATTGTCAAAAGATAGATTTTTTGAATTGCGTAGGTCTAGTATAGATTTTCTATAGGTCTAATATTATTTTTGAACTACGTAGGTTTAATATAGATAGGACAACATATATATTTTTGAATTACGTTCACTCTCAGAAATATTAAACTCAAAACTTTTGACGATTCTTCAATGCTTGATCTGTATTTTGTTAATTTTGAGTATCATTTTGTTCCGAAATCACGCGATTTGTGAGGAAACACAAAGTCTCAAATATATGACGAAAATGTTTTCTTTACTTGAAGCTCCATCTCACTACATTGTCGGAGATTTCCAGCTAGAATAAAGAAAATCGAATGAAGACTAGACGATCGAAACTGGAATGACGGTCTGCGTAGTAGTCGAGAATTTAGTCTTTTCCAAAAAGATATCGGGTTCGAATACCACTTCGCGCATGGAAGTAATATTTCTCACTGTGCTATCGTCCTTTTGCTGTTGGTGTGAAGTTGATTTACCTATATGGTGATCAACAATGATACCCATACATTTTTTGAAAACTAAAATAGAATGACGAAAGATTTCTTTTCTTTTGACGAAATCATTTTCTCGAAGAAGTGGCAATAGTTATTTCGTCACTTTGACAAAATGTTCGCTAGCAGCATATACCAGGTAATGGTTTCGTCAACTAAAAAAAGTTTCGTGAGATTTAAGTATTCATTTTTCATAGGGATTTAATTTATCTGTTAATTAATTTATAAGTATTCAAAATACAGAATTAAGAATTGAATAGGTCTTCTATAAAAAACTAAAACGGACAGCATGCAATATTTATCTCGGTTTCTGAACGAATGAATAATTTTAAAGAATGATTAATTTTCTAATTTTAAACAGTTTCAAAACAAGTCTCATTTCTAATTAGTTAACAAAATCGAATCTGCGTAGTAGTCGAGAATTTAGTCTTTTCCAAAAAGATATCGGGTTCGAATACCACTTCGCGCATGGAAGTAATATTTCTCACTGTGCTATCGTCCTTTTGTTGTTGGTGTGAAGTTGATTTACCTATATGGTGATCAACAATGATACCCATACATTTTTTGAAAAATAAAATAGAATGACGAAGGATTTCTTTTCTTTTGACGAAATCATTTCCTCGAAGAAGTGGCAATAGTTATTTCGTCATTTTGACAAAATGTTCGCTAGCAGCATATGCCAGGTAATGGTTTCGTCAACTAAAAAAAGTTTCGTGAGATTTAAGTATCCATTTTTCATAATGATTTAATTTATCTGTTTATTAATTTATAAGTATTCAAAATACAGAATTAAGAATTGAATAGATCTTCTATAAAAAACTAAAACGGACAGCATGCAATATTTATCTCGGTTTCTGAACGAATGAATAATTTGAAAGAATTATTAATTTTCTAATTTTAAACAGTTTCAAAACAAGTCTCATTTTTAATTAGTTAACAAAAGTAGAATAACTCTTTATTTAAAAACAATCACGTGAAGTAATTACAATAGATTAACTGTTTATGAGCATTGTTTGAAATATTTGTTGCGGAAAAAGAACGAGAAGAGATAATTCATGCAGATAAGACTCCTTTGCATTTTTTATAAAAAAAAAAGTGGAAATAAAGAAAAGTTATTTGAATTTTAAATAAGTTCAAGTTGCGCCATGATTCTTTAGAAAGTTTTAAAAGTTACTGCTTTTGAATAGAAATCATTGAAGCATTCGCTCTTTAACTTTTCTTCATTTTTTTCCATTTCCAAATGCTTTGTTACAATCTATACAACAGCAACTGTTCTTGCCATTTTCTTTCAAATGTTGATTTCTCTGTCTAAATTTTTTTTTCGTGTTGACACTTGTATTCAAACTATTTCATTGATGCTTGCAAAAATCAGCTTTTTAGATTTGCAAAACTTGACTTCTGTTTATATTTAGTTCTTAGAAATAAGTTGTGCGATTTTTTCCCTTTTTTGTGTCCGAAAAATAAACCGAAAAAAAATTATTTCTACTATAAAATAAGAAAAACACTCACTTACCAAAAAATCTACTTTTTTTTCAATAATTCACTTCAATTTACACTCAGGCAAAAAAGTATGGTCAAAATTACTAGAATATAGAAAAATTAAGTGTCTTTCCAGAGATGCCAACTTGCTCCGGACAGAAAATAAATATTTTAAAGTGGTAGTTTATCAATTGGGATTCTTGGATTAATAAATTCAATTTAGTAGATTTCTTTCTACCACTATTCCTAAACAATTCGCAGGTTTATATAATTCACCTCTTTTGAGTAGTTGTGCCATAGCGTGCCTCTCAAAAAAGCAAGCAAAAATGCTCAAATAATTGCAAAATTTAGTTGGTAGTTATTTACCGTTTTTTTAATTATTTTAGCTTGTCCGGAGCAGTTGGCATCTCTGTATTTCTGTCAATTCAATATTCTTGATGGTTCCATCAAAATATTTTGATGGTTTATGTCAATTTCAGTACGATTCATGATGGTCCAACATCATTTGATGGTCCCCAACATCCAATATTTTCCATTATGCATTCATGGTTTTTGATATGCCAACAAACTTCCATCATTCAATGATGGAAAATACTACTTTAATACTATGATGGCTAACCATCAAGAGAAGTTTGAATCTCATGGACCAACAATCCATGATGATCTGTGATGGTCCATGATGGTTTCAACCATACATTTCCATGATGGTTCCAACTATACATTTCCATGATGGTTTCAACTATACATTTCCATGATGGTTCCAACTATACATTTCCATGATGGTTTCAACCATACATTTCCATGATGATTTCAACCATACATTTCCATGATGGTTCCAACTATACATTTCCATGATGGTTTAATGGGAATTAGTGATGTTTCTCAGGAATATACCATCAAAACAATTCAGGTTTTTCTTATATTGGCCTATCATAAGTCAGTCTAGATTACATTGGGGTGATGGTGGTTCATGATCGTTACAACATTTCAACAGTTGATTTCTAAGAAACTATGATGGAAATTTCTGATAGTTCAACATGAACAAACCATCAAAACAAGTTGATATTCTTGTGTTGGACCATCATGAATCAATCCGAATTCCTGCATTGTGGTGATGGTAACTAATGTTGGTTACCATGAAAAATATATTGGTTCATGATGGAATTATTGATGGTTACCATAAAGATTATGTTGGACCATCAATGGAAAACCATCAGAAATTTTGACTTGCATATGGGAACACAAAGAATCTCGGTAATCTTTACCGAAGATCTATAGTAATGGTTTTGGTACGATAAAATATGAACGATGGAATATAACTTTATATGGTGTGATAAAAATTAATAAATCAGGTAAAAATCGGTTATTATATCATGATACCTTAGGAAATTACATAAATATCTTTTATTCTGTTCATTTGCTTTTAGTTTATATTCTGTACTAAATGCATGGTCAAAAGTACTATAATTTTGAAAACCAGAATTTCGGATAAACTTTTACTATGCGAACGGAAATATTACCAAATGAATAGTTTAAAAATAGTTTACTTTGGTTTTATTAATCAGAATTATATTTGTTTTTACTGGAAATGTCATTACAGCACGGTAATTTTAACAAATTTTTTTCCATGAAAGCTTTCAAAACTAACCTAAATTGCAATTTAAGTTTAT